CGGTAAAGCAATGCGGATTGCGGAAGTTGAAAATTTTATGAAATGACATGTTTGCGAAGTGCAAACCGCGATTTTTTAATCAAACAAAAATTTATGACATTCGAGCCGCGAGATTTCATACCTACTGAAATTATATGATATTAGAGCCGCAATATTTCAGACAAAAATAGGACTTTTCCAGACTAGGCCGCGCGTCCATACTTAAACTATTCTAGCCTTCTAAAAGTATGGCGCATTTTTTTACTGGCATACTAGGCTACGGCACACCGCGCAGGTTGTTAAAATGACAAAATAAATTTCCGCGCACCTGGCACATCTTCCTGACCATGGAAAAAAGGGCCAGCAAATTTGATGAGATGGTAGTGATGGTACAGTAGCTAACTGTGTTAACCAGAATGGCATTAGAACTTACAGTTCAACTCCCATTTTTTCTGTATATAAACTGATTTCAATAACGTTAGTCAACAATGATAACTATTATACTATATATAGGCTAGGTACAACTAAAAGCTCTCTAATCTACATACCTTACTTTGTTTACCGATTTGAAATATTCTACAACTTAGCCCAATTAAAGACATTTTGTAAAATACTCCGATATAAAATTGACTGTCAACAAAGCTAACGTAGTTTTTCCTATGTTCCTAAATCTGAATCTGTCAGTTTTCTGCCACTGTGAGTGTGCGAGCGCCACCGAGGTCCGAGGGTACTGCCACAGGTGGCGGTAGTTAGCACTTAGCACAGATCACAGATATTCATCCGGAATAACATGCGGACTGCCGGACTCGACGTTCCTGCGGACTGAACAATTAGAAATACATAATAGATGAACAGCATCCTTACAACATTATCGTCATAGTAAAGAATTGCAAAATCGTGTGCGCTGTATACGCTATCATCACTACATCTCGGTTATTTTTTCTAAGAAATCTAAACACTTATTTAGGTAACACTGACATCGGTTTCAGACGATACTCCCAACAATCATTTCCTCGTTCCAAGTCAGACTGTCTGACCTTTATTAAATCAGTATAGTAGTATTCAGATGCGCAGCCGAGCACAACCAATTTTTAATACCACTCAGCCCCACGTTCATCGCCTATCATTGTTACGTAAGGCTACCAATCAGCCGGACAGAGAACCTGCCGTCAGGCTTTGAAGCATCACTTCACACCCTGGCCTCCCGTCGAATTGTACTCAGACCACTACGTACTGCAACCAATCGTACTAGCTCCTCCTGGGAGTTGCATACCACTTGCCTGACACCACCAGGCCTGACGTCGCATGAGCCGTGCAACTGGCTGAGCACAGCGAGTAGCGGAGAGCGTCAAGACTGGCTGAGCGTTATAAGGTTCACTGTGTTGCGGTCATGATGAGGGAGTGCTGTATGCCGGCGCTCGTCCAAAAAGATGCAACACTATTTCAGCGCACGCTTGCAAAACTAACATATTCAGTATTACTATTAGTATGAAATAAGCTGTGAGAAATAGATACGTTATAACTTTCACTATAAGCACTGATTACAGCTAAAGCGATCAGTGATAATTGTGAATAATTATTACCGACTACACCACATCTAAAAAGTCATTCGCTCTTAAAATAATCCAATTTAAGATAAGAAGAGCCTTAGCTAACAAATTTTGACAATGTCAATATAATCGTTGAGAAAGTAAGAATGCTTGGCATTTCACTGGTAAATTATGCCAATAAAGAAAATTGACGTTTCTTCCAAATTCCTAAAATGGGGTCAAATTTAATTTAATAAAATTTGATTATTATATTTTATAGCGAGAATGACTATTGTTCCTCGCTTGGTGAATAGTAAATTGACCTCCAATTACTTATAAATATCATCGGACTTTTAATTGGGCCACGTGACCACTCAAGGCTCATGTGCTGCATTATATTATTGCCACACGATTTCGAATACATAAGATAACATAACACAGTGATGTCGGAGCTGAAAAGTAGGCCTAATGTGGCCGGAGGCCGATTCTTGAACTTTTCGTGACTTGTTCACCGAAGATCTAAAATCGTGTTATTTGACCGGATCTCTTCAAGACTGACGATAGTTTGAAATAGCTACTAGACTCCCATAATAATAAAACAATGTGAGGATTCATGAAGCTAAACAAATCGAAGAATATAACTATTTTCCAGCGCACTAGACCAAATGCATATTTCACCAAAAAAATGCCTATGTAATATTGTATTTAAAGTATTGTGTAGAAACCTCGTGTCTTCACCTGTAGGTCACTTCTACAGTTCACGTCCGGACCCCGAATTTCTTCAACGCTAGATTGCAGGGGCGCCAGTACCTGTCGTTGCTTCGGCGTATCCTCATAAGGCTACTCGGAAGGGCTCCCAAGGGCGAGCGTCAACGGCGAGATCTGAGAGAAACTTGACCCAATGAGGAATGTGAGGGCACAGAAGATGGGAAGTATTGAAACGTCGGTCAAACCCATTAAACGTCGGAAAAGCATTAAAGACGTGCAACACGGATAATTCTGGGATTAAAAGGCAAGCCTCATGAAGAAAGGTTAAAGAATATGAAGCTTCCAAGCCTCTGTTATCGACGTCTGTGTGGTGACCTCATTGAAGTATACAAGTATATGTCCGAGGTTGCACTCATGACATTGAACTTATTATATTAAGTTCTACCTGAGGATCGGGTTCTTCGACTAAAGCAGTGAGGGATAAGTAAGACACATCAGTCCACCAGATAACGTACCTTCTATACGGGGTGGCAATCCAGAGTTACGATGCAGAGTTCTAAGCTACGGCTTCGACCGTGAGGTCGGAGAACTCAAGCTACACGCTGCATCGCGGAGCGCTTATCAACTACTAGGGGGCTTCCTTAAGCTTTGCTAGACCTTATATAAGCTTCGCTAAAGTCTTGATCGTGTGATCTAACACATGTCTTTGTGACACATATGCTGTATGGCAAGGTCTCAGTGACACTGTGGACTTAATTGCTAACTAGGTCTGTTGGTAAACACATGAGAACTTGTTTCCACGACCTACTCTCGGACATATACTCACGGTTTATACAAGGTCCCAGAAGGATTACTAGAATTTGAAACAAGAACCAACACCAGGGGCTACGGCTATAAACTAAAAAACTGCGTTGTGACACATCCATTAGACAACATTTCTTCTCGCTTCGAGTCGCCGACATGTGGAACAACCTCCCTAATAGCATCGTTGACGCTCCGGGTTTGAACGCCTTCAAGAACAGACTAGACGAAGCTATGCAGGAACATATATAATATAATATAGCGGTTTCAGCGTTTATTAGGCCGTAGGCCTGTCGCCGATTCTTAACATCTCAGAACATTCACAGCATTTTGCGATCTCGAACTCGCAACTCACTGCTTCAATTCTGCTTTGCTTAACCGCCCGGCCTCCTTGCCGATTCTGACGAGAAAGTGGCGCACAGAGCTGGGATCGAACCCGAACCCGCGCCTCTCTGGGCCAATCCTGGTACTCTGAACTATAACCACTGGGCCTATGTAACTAGGCATTTCAGTCTTGAAATGCCTAGCACCTTACGGGCTTTGCATAAGTCCAGCAGCAATCTCAATCAATCGTCGGTTATGGAAAGATCGGGTTCAAAAGGCCGGGTCCCATGCGGAATCAAGTCACGAAAAGTACAAGAATCAGCAACTGGCCATGGGCCTATTTCTTCAGTACTGACGCTTCTATTCTATTCTTCTATTATATTATATTCTAAAACCATTAGTTTAGAATAGAATAGAAGAAAACAGCGAATATGCAGTTGCAGGTAAAAAAAACAAACGGATGATGCTTTCAAATTCATTAATTTCATATATGATTTCATCCATTTAATATATATATTTTTAATTGCTATGCTCAAATTTAATCAAACTTAATTGTCATACATTTATCTAATGGGAGCCAATTGGAATAATTATTTTAGTATAGTAAAGTATAGTATCTTCAGCATTTAAAGAATAGGCCTGGATAGGCCTGTCGCCGATTCTTGTACTTTTTTTCTTGACTAGACTGGCCTTTTGATCAGATCTTTTTCTTTGAGCAGTTGAGTTGTAAAGCAACAGCCAAAATGACATTGATGATTGAGATATAATATGTAGAGATTACAAATGAAAAATATCTTAAATACTCGCAACAGATCGAGACCTTGAACGATTAAAACGATCTATGTTTTAATATATTGTCAAGTAAATAAAGAATAATAATTTTCTGGCCTAATAAACTCGCGAGGAGCAAAATTAACAATCGAACGGATGAGTTTTCATAAACATAATTTGCCTAACTATTATCAGAATAGGATTATCTAAAAGAGCTACTCATGAATACCCTCTTTCCATCGTGTCTGGCAGGCAGCTGAGGCATTACAATGAATTTGTGAAAAGCCATCGCCACGCGGCGCAGAAAGTCAGGGAGACAGGGTAAGCCATGGTTCAACCATGGGGTAGGCGCATAGGTAGTCACGCTAGGATAACACATCCGCGAACTGCATGTAAAGCGGAGGGGTCGGAGCACTGACTGTGTACCAACAGAGCTGTGGCGTACAGGCGTAGGGAGTTTCTTATCGAAAATTGTGACTTCTTCTTCACCAGTTCACCTACAAACCACCACTACCGTATTGGAAACTGTGATGGGGCTAAGCGGCATGGGAGTGATGGGACAGATCTGTTGGGCGGTTTTAAATAAGAATCAGGGCTATTGTATTGGTGGGATGGTGGCGTGACTGGCTTCACTTCACTGGCTTGCAAGTTGGCAGTTCTGAGTTCGCAGTTGCAGGACTTGCAGCTGAGCAATTACTAACTCGCTGGTATCAATTAACTCGCTCGTTCCGAGCTGTGTCGGTTGTTCTACCAAAATAATACAAAACATGAATTATTAATAGCCATTAGCCCTAGTATGGAATATATCTACTTGGCGAGCCGCGACTGAATTTTGCGAGCAGTGGTTTTATGGATTTGCCAGCCGTGATTCCATTTCTACAAGCCGTGATTCTATTTCACCGAGCCGTGAATTCCATATCTCGGCCATGAAAAGTCATTTACGAGGTGCGAATGCAAATTTATTTACAAAGTTTATGCACGTGTTACCCCAAATCTCTAATTTTACCCTTAAACCTGTCTCTTATACACATCTAGATGTGTATAAGAGACAGTTCAGCACNGAGGCCTGGCTCAGGCCACTCGCTTGATAGCCCCGAACCGCTGGGCTTTTTGACGGTTTGCCCGCCCCCGCCACCGGGACAATGGGCCCGTCATGAGTATGTTTTTGTGTTCCATCTTAGGGCTCCGGGTGTCCACCTGTCTCTTATACACATCTAGATGTGTATAAGAGACTGTTGCCACACAAAGTGACGGAATATAGGGATTTGGTAGGTTTCCATTCTAAAGGCTTTTTAATAAATATGGCAACATTTTGTGACGTTTCATCGTTGCTGAGTGCTGACGCATAGTGAAGTGTTTTGAGAGTCATGTGAAGGCAACAGAACTTACGTAACACATACATTTTTGTATAGTTTTTCATTTCTCGATGCGTCCTTAATGTGTCGGAATATACCGCGTTTACCCTAGTTCATGACTTGAATAAGTGTTGTTATATTTTTTTGCTTTACTAGTTGAAAAGTCAACTGTTAAAGCCACTACATCCCTGAGGGACAGAATGGCCACCACCCCCGGTCCTCATGGTTGGTTCAGGCCGATTCCTACCCCCCACTCCGATCAACAGTGCTGCCTGTAGGGGCTGAAAAA